ACTAATTTAGGTGTCAACTACTCTTCTTTACACTAAATGTAACCCAACTAAATGACTTCTCAGCCTCCTAAGGTTAGAACTATCAAGAAGTTTTCCAACTAGTACGCAACAAAAAGGTCCCTCTTACACATTACAATACATTGGGCTTCTTCCACTGCTTCCCATTTGTAGAGTACTACTAATTTGTAGATTATGTAAATTGGGCATTTCTTTCTTTTCATATCAGGCCAGTTTATGGTTCCTAGTCTCAGCTTAATTTCTATGCTCAACAATCATCCTTTCTGTTTACTATTACAGTTGAATATCCTTTTCAAAACAGCCTACTCAAATTCATTCAAGTATTTGAGTACTACCATATATAAAAGTTTTTCAGGATGCTAAAGAGAAAACATTTCATTCAAAATTTTCACTAGAAGTCAGAAATGAAAAGATAGACTTAAGATATGCTACTGTAAAAAGGTAGAAAGGTGTGATCCCTTTCTTCCTGATCATAAGAGTTATGGCTGATACTTCTATTTCAAATGACGTGCTAACAAGAGAAAGCGTAACAAAGTCACTGTCATTTAATCAGTTTAACGTGACATAGCAACCTTCAGATTAAAGACTTAAAGGCCCAGAGAAAACTGGCCATTTATGCTTAGATTCAGTGAAGAAGAAAAAGCCATGTAGGTATGTGATTAGACAAAAAGGGTAGGATCTAATGTAATAGACTAAAGGAGGGAAACTCAGCAAGGCCTGACTGTTCAGATTCTTATCTCAGTGGCATTCCTTCCTTCTGAGTAAGGGGCAGGATCCCTTCTGGAAATGAGTCCTATTATCTACAATCAGGCAAGGTCAGAGAATTTCTTAATGGCCAGCTCTAATACAGAAAGGTGGCAGAGATTACAGTAATATTTTTAGACTTTATGGCTTCCTTTGGAGAAAAGGGATACAGTTTCTATGATCCACCTTGGGAAAGAGGAATTCTGATTTTTGTGACTCATTTTGGGGGAAATGAGGGTGAGAGAGGATGGGAGGAAAAGGTCACAGAGACTGAGGCCCCCCACCAATGTCCTTTAGTTCAAAGTACTTAGGATACCAAAGTGTCATATTTGGGAGTATCATTTCTGAGCCCTAAATCCACTCAAGACAGAAATGATAAAATATGGTTGATTAGATGAGAGAATAAAAAGTAGAATATGATTTCCATGTTTCTATTTGGATGACTAAGTAAATGGTCAAGTAAAGAAAGGAAAACAAACAGGTGGAGAACGAGGGAGTAGAGTGATGTACAGTTTTTGGACTTGCTGAGTTTGAGGTCACTGTAACAAAAGTATAATTAGGTTCAGACTTAAGATGGAGGACTGAACCAAACATTACATTTGGAATCATATTAGCATATAATCGATAACTATAGTCATGAGAATTGATGACTTTGAGAAGAGAATAGGGTCAAGGTTATCCTACAAAGAAAATAGAAAAACTGTCAGAAAAGGAGTCATAAATAAAAGGAGAAACAATGCCACAAATTCCAAAGATAACAAAAGAACAGAAAATGGTCTGCTTAATCTGACCATTACCAGAGAAGTTTCAGTGGAGTGAGGGGGACAGAAACATGGCTATAATGCACTGAATTATAACTGGGATATAAAAGCAGAATTTAAAGAATCTGATTGAAGATGGAAAGGGAGAAAGAAAATGGAATCAGGGTGGAGTGTGCAGAGCAAGTTTAATAATAGGGGTTTTTGTTCGGATGGAAGTATAACGTATTTACAGGGCTTAGGGAAGAAATCAATGGACAATTATCTGCATGATGAAAGGGCATGCAGCAGAGGTCTAGTGTTAGAAAAGATGTGAAGAACTAAAACAAAAAATTTTTTTAAAAACCAAGACAGAGTGACACTTGGAAAGAGACACTTTTGCCTAGGATGCAGCAAAGACGATGAGGATAGAAACGGTTGACCTTCTATATATATATGGGTTTCTACATCCGTGGAGCCAAACAACTACAGACTGAAAAATATCAAGGGAAAATTGTATCTATTGATATACACAGGCCTTTTTGGGTCATTATTCCCTAATATAAAGTATAATACCTATTTATATAGCACTTGCATTTTATTAAGTATTTTAAGTAATCTAGAAATTATTTAAAGTATATTGAAGGACTGCATAGATTAGGTCCAAATAAAACACCATTTTATGTAAGGGATTGAAGATTTTGACATCCTCAGTGGTTCCTGTAACCAAATTCCCACATGTATCAAGGGTGCCTGTATTTGTCTTCCTATCTAAATATTTATCTGTGAAACAGAAGACAAGGTCAATTGCTGATAAGTGTGGTTAATGAGTGTGGAACTGTCTCTATCACCTGACTCATAGTATTGTGAAATGCAGTTAATTAGCTTTTAATAAATTTACATTTAAAATGTCTAACTAAATTGTAAGGCTCTCTAGGGAAGAGCTGTTTTTTGTTTTTGTTTTTTACCATACACCTGGAAAGCATCACAAGTAGCAGTCCTCTCTAAATGGTACTTGATGGTATGGCTGTACTTTATAATCAGCAGTAAAGACAAGATAAAACAAGGGGTGAGAAAGAGATCCCTCTTATAAGTTTCAGGATGCTGAGAGAGAGGGAGTATAGAAGAAGCCATTTTAATAAAAATTTGTATGATAGAAAAGATAGGTAACTGTCCCCTACTTCCCTTACTATCCTAAATATTTCTTCCTTTCTCTGCATATCCCTCTTTTCTCTCTTGTATCTGGATTTCAAGGTGGGCAGGCAGGCGGTCTGACTGTCCACCTGTCTCCCAGCCTTCCTTTTTCAAACTCTTCTCCAATGTCTGCCAAAATGAAGTACATCTTTGTTTACTCTGTCAGTTTTAGAGATTTATTCCAAAAGGTTAGATATTTTTGCACCATTGGGCAAATACCCATGAATGGAAAAATAAATTGTGGCATATTCATGCAACTGAGCATCATTCAGCAATGATACTGAAAAACCCACAACTGCACAAAACACAGACAAATCTCACAAACACACACTGAACAAGGAAGCCAGACAAAAGAATATGTACTTCAAGATTCTGCTTATATACAGATTTTTAAAATAGGCAAAACTACACCATGTTGTCATAAATAAGACAGCAACTTTTTTTGAGTGGGGAGATGTGATGGAGCTAGTTAACTGGGAGAAACACAAAGGAACAGGGAATTTCTAGGATGTTTGATATGTTCTCTTTCTGGACCTGGATTGTTACTTGACAATAAAAAAGGTTATTAAAATGTTGAACCTACATCTTCAATATGTGCATTGTATATATGTACTATTACGCTAACGTTAGGACCATTCAGAAACATATTAAAAAACAGGAGTGAATCTGGGGGCTTAACAACATTGCTCAAGTGATAGAGTACTTGCCTAGCAAGAACAAGGCCCTGACTTCAAACCCCAGGACTGTCCCCCACCAAAAAAAAAAAAAAAAAAAAAAAAAAAAAGAATTTGAAAAGTGTGTAATAACATGGTATCTTAGTTGTCTTGTTAACATTAATAGCTTCGTCAATTTCTTATGATATAAACTTGCAAATTTATTTGTTCCAAGTGAAGCAAATATTTTAATCTTGTGATAGAAATTTTTAAATTATTTTCACACACTCCCACATGTTGCCTTATTTTTCCAGTAGGACTTAATTCCAAAAGATGCTGATGTTTAAATTTTATTCATAGTTGGAGTGATAAATATATTGGTTAAGGCAAATAAATTCCTATTTGGTTTTTCAGTCAATATTTCAAGCTGTAAAATATATATTTAGGATAAGGTTTATTCATTTTTCAAGTTTGTCTTCTCAATAATTTTAGCTTTGAAGAGGAGGACTTGTTATCAGACCTGATTATTTTAAATCCAAAGTTTCTTTGAAGAAATATTTTATGCTATATAAATATATATGTGTGTGTATATATATATATGTATAATGAAAATGAGATAATATTGTTATATGCAAATTAGTAAGACAATTTTATTTTAGGTTTAAAAAGTAAACTAAAAATTCAAGTATTTTTCCTATACTATCAATAAATCATCTTACATATCTGTACTGGCTCAAAGCATAGTATGTGTACATACAGAAATGTCACAGTGAAACACATTAGTATGTATTCATAATTATTTTTTAAAAATCACTGTATTAGAGGGCAGAAGAAGGATGGCCAGATCAAATTGGAAATTTAACAATTTCACCTTTGGTGACTAACTGGAGTATGAATTTAAGGTGAAGGAGGGATTTGAGCGAGATGAGACTAGAACTATGGAAAAAGACAAGAGATCACTAAAGCTGCACAGGTTAGAAGGTAAGTTAAACAAGGCAGTGGTAACATAAATAAAGGAGAATAAAGGATTACCTAGGCATGGCGGTGGGGTGGAGTGAGATACTTAAACTGCAATAATGATCTGGCCATCCTCCTATCCTCTAAATCAATGGTCTACAGAGTGAGGTGTATAAAATGACTTATTGGTGGTACACAAAAAAAACTGAACTTTAAAAAGTAACTGTTTTCAGGGACAAAGTATATATTTGATATGGACAAGTGGCATTTTTCAATTATATGTGTTAGGTATGTATTATATACAAATAAAACCACTTTTTTGATTTTTTTTTTGCTAATTTGTGATCTATAACATACACTTACAAGTGAAAATAATGTGCTTATCATCAAAAGCCACCTCAAATCTTGAAAACACCTCCTATAGTCACTAAATTGCTACCCTTAAGACCTACCCATTTAGAAATTTCAAAGCAGCTATTCTTGACTTCAAGGGATTGTAAGAAACACATACACAAACCTTTTGATTTTTTAAAAATTTTATGGTAAATGTAATCATTTCTTAATTTATAAAAAGCTAAAGGAACAATCAAAAGTAGAGCTGAAAATAAGCTAAAGCTTTAAAGAACTTGGAAACTTTAACAAAAGGTCAAACATACTTCTTTTCTTATCAAAACTGAGTATTGACTTCAGAACTCACCTGTTTTATGTTCACTGTGAGCTCCTCATGGCCAAGAGTCATTAACATATAAATGACATCACTGATGGTAAGTAAATGTGCTTCTGTTAAATTTTGGAAAAATGCCTAATAAACATTAGTAAACTGTGTTAGTTATACCTATTTTATAAAGTTTTCACTGACTCTGGAAAAGTCACTAGCATACTACTAGCTGAATCCAAAATTCAAATATTCTTATGGTCAAAGTAAAGCATCTTCAATATTTAACAGAGCACCCATGTACCCCTAGTATGGAATTTTACGGTGCTGTAGAGACAGGAACCAAACATAAAACTTAACACTGAAGTAAATAAGATAGGGCAAATTTAGTTCTCCTTCCCTCTACTATCCTATTCTCTTCAGAAGGCTCAAGAAGAGCCATATACATGAGAAAGCCAAGTAGTAATTCTCAAGAATGGGACATGTGGGATGTTCTACAGCCCACTACATATGAAATCTTCTAGGACCACCTAGATCTAACTCAGATCCATTAGTTAATCCCAGGATCAATCTAACATTCTAGGGATTTTCCAAAAGTGAGATTGTCAGAGTCCAGAAAAAATTTCCTATGTCTTTCCCAAAATAAATCTACATACTCAAAAGTCACACTGAATCCACACCATTTTCTCTAAAGAGCAGGTTGGCTATAATATTTGTTGACAGACCCAATATTTTAGACATATGTTCTAAAGTCAATGCTAGCAATCCAGCAATGTAGTTCAAATTACCTAACTGTTCATTAAGACAATCAAGATAAGCACACACAAATATGACCAAACATAGTCCAGAGGCGTGTTTTAAGAATTCCCAGAGAGCTTCTTTTTCATGGGCAAAAAGCTCTGTTTAGCTATGTAACTAGAAGTGAAGTTGATCTTTTTCCCATTCAGCAACTGTTTCTTTGTCATTTCTTCAGTTTTCTTTCAACAACTCTACTTAAGGTTATGTATGAGTCAGAGGGTAGGATAAAGTATGTATCTAACCCATTTTAGATGATAGGAAATAATATTTCATTTGGTTCAACACCTTTTCTAGAGTAGAAAATTACTTAACTGTCCTATGGGGCATGGTTAAAAACGGAGGTCTAGCCAGTCAATGAAATATCAAGTATTCCTTGATTATCAGCCAATAGCAATCTAAAAACTTCATGTATTTCTTTAAAATTTTTAAAATTATACTCTAGTAATACTTATAAAAAGATATGAAGTGGCAAATGAACAAGGACCAACCATATCAATGAGAGTAGTTATGCTTATGTTATGATCATGGATGATTATAATAAAAAAGAAATGGGTTTCTCCTTTTTTTCAAAGGTCTTAGTGAGTGAGAATATCAGGAGTAGAAATTGTGGAAAACTAAACCAAAGTTTGGCTGGGCACGTGGTAAATAAGGCAAGTTGAAAATTTCCAAAAGAAAAATTCTCAAAGACATAATATATATAGCAATAAAAAATCCTTACATTTTTCTGCCTATCCTGTAAGGTTTGGATTAAAAAGAAATAGTAATTTTAATCTGAATCTAAATACCTGAGACTTCCTTTCAAGTAAAACATACAATAAGGCAGGCTGATAATAGATATATGGAAACCCAAGTATAGCAAAATATTACTTATCAAATCTAAGTGGTAGATATTTAGGTTATTAACTCAAATTCCTTCATCTTTTCTGTTTATTCAATATTTTCTCAACTAAGATCAAAAGGGGCCTCTGAGCCATAAAAGTGGATGCAGACTCAGGATTTTTACCTCCATGGTTGAGTAGTGCCACTAGGGCCCAGTCTGATCTGGGGGTCACCACCCACCTGACTGAGTATCTTCTGCCCTCGCAAAGAGATCCATTCCAACATAACTACTGACCATTCTTGAGCAGTCCCTAAGGCCCGTCCTGCCCCGAAGCTCACTATATATACTTGGTCCTCTGCAGCTAGAGTGTCACCTCCACACTGGCCATGCACTTTACATACCTGAGACCTCTGGGCACAATTATGGGTAACAGAACAACAAACCTAATTGGAGGCTCAGGTGCTCACTCAATCCTTCTTAAAGTAAATGAAGAGTTCATGAAAAAAAATTTTTTTTCATAATAAAAATCTGTACCTGAGGTAGGCAGGTTTCAAGGGAAAATACAAGTAATTTTTAAGAGTATTCTTACAGCTTATAGAAACATAAAGATATTAAGATAGTTACATTTTATGAAAATCAGCTTGGATTATAAGATTTTGTAGATACTGACATACAGCTAAAGTTCAAAGATGAGCCCTCAATGAACCACAGCTATGAGTACTCATGCTCAATACAGTCCCCAACTTTTGAGTCTGGGCTGGCTCTGCAAGTTACTTTTTGAGCCAATTAAAGTTGTACAACTTCCAAGGCTATGAATGTCTTGCAGATTTTAAGACTCTGCTTTCTTAGAATACTTTCTCCAGGAGTACTAAGTTTTCATTTAAGAAGTCCAATCACCCTGAACCACCATGCCTGGCATGTATATGTGGCCTAAGGTAAACCTACCCTGCCAGTCATCCTGGCCAATGCACCAGACTGCAAATGAAAACACTAGGTTCAGACTGCACATGAACTTAAATCCTGCCTAGACTCCTGACCTGCAATAAGGTTAAGACTTAACATGATTATTGTTTTAAGACACTATGCTTTAGGTGTTACTTTTTCAACCAAAACAGATCAACAAAGCATTTTAAACAGTAAATATTTAGCTCCAAACCCTTGCTTTTGTATTAAAAAACAAAAACTAAACTGGAAAAAAATTTTTTAAACCTGTAAACTCTATGAAAAGCAGGTAAAGGTAAAAAAGGTAAAGTAAAGGCTACAAAATTGAGAACAGGCCTTTCAAACCACTAAATTTCTACATTTTGAATAATATTTGTAGAATAAATGTTTTAGATATAATTTTTGCTACGTAAATTCATACTGAATCCACTGTCTGACATCGTGTGGGTAATCTGTGACTCACTCGAGTTGCTGCCTTTAAATAAACAGTTATTAGAGAACTGACTGAATCTAAACAGTTTTGAGCTTCTACATTTTGGTTTTCACTGACCTGCTGGGAAAAAAATGTTGAGATTACAAGCCTAGCATGAGTTATCCTCCATGGACCATAATTTTAGATATAAGCAATAAGAGAAAATTCCGTGACTACACACATAAAATAGAAATCCTACACACTCAGGTTATTAATTATAATTTGGTAAGATAACCTTAAATTGACATTTCTAAGTAACAACATACTCATTAATATTCTTAATTTTAATACTAGTTTTAGAAAGACACAAAAGTATCTTCAAGCCAGCTGTAAAATATATTTAAAAAAAAACAAACCTGCTGTTCTTGTATCTTTCCTAAATCTGACAATTTGGAAGGTGTTAGTGTCCTTATTTTTTCATATTATTACAATTATCAAACTATTCCTCCTCCTAGCCAAGGCAACAAGGCAAGATTCAAATGGTTGCTGAGAAAAAGAAAAAAGGGAAATACTAATCTAACTTAAAGGCAAAAATACATTAAAAAATATATATATAAATATTATGATGAAACCTATTAAAATATACAAAAAAAATAAATTTAAAAAAGTAAAGCACCCATTTGTAATTTGAAGACTCAGTTCAACTATACATATATACTCTCTAAAGATTAAAAAAATGCCAGAAGTTCTTAACTTTACCTTAGTTCCACTCATTTTTCTCCCCTTTATTATCAGTCCAACAGAAGACTGGTATATCAATTCTGGCACATCCATGTAAATGAACACCACACAGCAATGAAAATGAACTACAACTACACAAATCTTGGAAATCTGATGGTAAGCAAAAAAGAAAAAAGACTAGACACAGAGTCATATTTTGTGATTCCAAAACAGCAAAAACTAATCTTTAGTGTTAGAAATCAAGACAGTGGTTATTTCACGTGGGGAAGAGATGGGAGAGTAGTGACGAGAAGGCATCACCTGAGATTCTGGTAGTTTTTGTATTCTGTTATCTTCAGTGTACTTTTTCTGTATATATGCAACATTCCAATAAAAGCTTACATTAAAAACAAAAGGCACAAATCTGCAAGATTAGACTATATTTTGATATCTGAAGCAGAGGTATTCTAATACTTCATTCTTGATACTTTACACTAATATGCTTCTTTGTTTGCAGAACCACTGCACAAAATGTTATAGCTTTTTAAAACAGAAGCTAGGCATGATGGCACACAGCTGTAATCCCACAGAGGCAGAAGGATGATAAATTTAAGGCCATCCTAGGTAATTTAGGACACCCTGTCTCAAAACAAAAAAATGGCTGGGGATGAAGCTCAGTGACAGATTGCTTGCCTAGTATTTGCGAGGGCCTGGGTTTGATCCCCAACACCACAATAAAAGTGGCTGAGATCACATAAACCAAATGAGAATGCACTGACTTTCAAGGTTACATAACACAGGGAAGAGGCAGAACTCCAGGTTCCTAGTCTATCCAGTACGTTATGCTATACAATATTGCCAGCTCCTCCCTGCCTAGTAGATACTTTCAAATATTCATAAAAGGCTGGGCACACACTTGTAATCCCAGCTACTTGGGAATCAGAGATCGGGGGACTCACAGTTCAAAGCCAGTTGAGGCAAAAAGTTAGTGAGACCCCCTTCTCAATCAACAAGCCAGGTGTGGCAGCATGTCTGCTGTCTCAGCTCTATAGGTAGGAGGATGGTAGTCCAGGCTTACCCCAGCAAAAACAGGAGGCTCTATCCAAAAAATAACTAAAGCAAAAGGACTGAGTGTGGCTCAAGTGGTGGAGCACCTGTCTAGTAAACATGAGGCCCTAGGTTCAAACCTCAGTATCACCAATCATTCATCAATAAATACCCCATATATAAATTTTTCTATTCCAAAGACCTAAACAATAAACACTACAATGCTACTCCAGGAGAAATACTAGAATATGTTAATAAAGATACAGAAATGCATAAAATGAAAATGACTTGCCTGACTGTAGTACTGCATAATGTACACATACAGTAAGTGTATCTGTTTACACCATGTCACTGTATCTTCTAATTGAATAGAGAAGTATTATAAACAAAAAGAAATTAAGACAATTTTAACAGTGACTACTTGGGGTAGGGGAGATTTCTAAACTGCCTAGTCCTCCAAACTACTTAATTTCTTGTTATAAAACATGTATCATGGCTAGGCATGGTGGCTCAAACCTGTGATCATATCTACTTGGTAAGTGGAAATTAGGAAGGCTGTGGTTCCAGGACAGTCGGGGCAAAAAGATCATGAGACCCCATCTTAAACCAATAGCTGGGCACAGTAGTGCATTTCCATAATTCTAGCTATGCTGGGTAGCCAAAATAGGAGGTATTGCAGTCCACACTGGCCTGGGCATAAAACAATATCCTGTCTTAAAAATAACTGATACAAAAACAGTAGGGCCATGGTTCAAGTGGTAGAACCCCTGCTTAGCAAGTGTGAGGCCCTGACTAGAGCTAAAAAGAAAGAAGACAGACAAGAAAAGCTACTGCAGAGTCTATTTTTAGTATTGTCCTCCCCTAGAAAATCTCTGCCAGCTATACATCTGACAAGGGATTAATAACCAGAATATACAGCAAACTCAGAAACTAACCTCTCAAAAGCATCAGCAACCCACTGAATAAACAGACAAGTGAACTGAACAGACAATTCTCAAAAGAAGGACAAATGGCCAATACACATATGAAGAAATTCTCAACATCTGTGGTCATAAAGGAAATGCAAATCAAAATGACATTGAGATTCTACTTACCCCAGTCAAAATGACTATCATCAGTAACACAAACAACAAATGCTGTTGAGGATGTGGGGAAAAAGGAACACTTCTACATTGTAGTGGGAATGTAAATTAGTGCAACCACTATGGAAAGCACTATGGAGGTCCCTGAAAAAACTAAAAATAGAACTACCCTAAAATCCAGTAATACCACTCCTAGGCACATATCCAAGGGAATGTACTCCAGAATACAAAAGAGCCACTGCCCACCCATGTTTACTGCAGCACTATTTACAGTAGCCAGGCTTTGGAAGCAGCCCAGATGCCCCACAACTAATGAATGGTTTAAGAAAATGTGGTATAACATATACACAATAGAGATTTATTCAGCCATAAAAGAGAATGAAATTATGTTGTTTGCAAGTAAATGGATGGAACTGGAGAACATCATGTTATGCAAAGTAAGCCAGGCTCAAAAAGTCAAAAAGCTGAATATTTTCCCTCATATGTGGATGCTAGACCTACATGATCATATACACACACGCACACACACACATATACAAACACATATATAGTAAAAAGAGAAAACATAATTGTATTAGTGAGTTTGCCTGACAGGACTACAGGAGGCAGGAGAGGTAAATTAG